AAGGTTACTATAGAAAACTGTTTTTCTTGCATAATATTCTTATTATTTTGTAATAAATATATACTTTCATAAGAAAGCGTAAACAATACATTTTTTTATTAAAAAATTTTATTTACAATTTTTATTTACAATATTTTCATAGGCGAAAAATGAATACAAAATAAAAAATAGAGTGAAAAGAACTACTAACTATGGACAGGAAACGAACTCCCGGACATGATTCATAGGAATTTTCGGGTGTCCCTATTAGGCCACAACGCCACTGAAAACCATTGGAAATAAATCTGTAGATACTGAAGTAATAAAACTTTAATCGTAAATATCTCAAAAAGTATTGGGTAGTGGCGGCTATAATGATATATATTCTTGACTTGCATGACGAAATCTACTAACCTGCAAAGTTTCAACTAAATCGGTGACCCGAAGGACTTGCACTCTCCTTATTAGAGGAAAATTTCAGATAACCCGATATTTCCTTCTAATTATCGTGAACTTCCGAGAAACAAAAGTGTCGGTGAAACGAGAAATTGATATCCTTCAAAGAAATTCAGGCAGACTTACCCAATCCGGGAACGGAAGAAAAAAAGGTAAAATTAACGAGGCACTTCTTGATCTTTGATAGATGGAATCGCGGCGTAATTCATGGGAAGAGTGCCACCGGTCTTCAGAGCTCGTTACGTAAAGGAACCAGTTTCGAGAAATTACAATCTGCCATTAACAAATATCACCGTCTCTTTTAAACCTCATATTTCGCCCATGTTTATTACATTTATTATACTTAAATTAATATCCGATGAAAAAACATGTTTACAATGAATTGATTCACGACCAAAAGATTTTTCATATAGCGAAACTTATCAGGAGTGCAATTTTGTAGAGTCCAACGTGAAATTTAGTAACACGCAGTTTATTAAAATACGAAATTTATCGAGATGTAAGGTACCGTGATTTAAATAGGTATTTTCGTGATAAAAATAATAGCGTGAAGTCTAACGTAAAATTCAGTAACACGCGGGTTATAAAAATGCGAAATTTATCGAGATATAAAATACCGTGATTTAAATAGGTATTTTTATGATGGAAATCGAAGAGAGACGGAGCAATTTAAAACGAGTTTTTAGTTATTTACTATTATATTGTAATAACGAAGTGATATTGGTCGTAAATTATTGCACCTGTATAAATAAAAATCGGTGATACTGTTGAATGACACGCTTTAACCATTAATTTTCATCGTTATTAAACGAAGCTGAAACTATGCATAACAAGTTTTTCCACTTACACTATCGGTTATAGGTTCGAGATTACCTCCGGTCTTAGATTTTAGAACACAGCGAGCGCGATTGCAATTAGCCGTAACTAATCGCCATTTATTTGCATTTCGAATGATAATTCTAGGACCATCTTGGTGGAAATCTCTTGCACATGTTGGCCGATTAGAAAATCACAGATGTAAATTTTAAACCTAGATTAGTATAAATTATATATAGCGAAGTACAAAAAAATACGATTTTAAAAATTACTATGTCTCGGTGAAACCTCGAAGTATTTCAAAAATACACTTATTACAAAATTATTATTATTTTTAATAAAATTAAAATCTAAAAAGGTTTGATCGGGTTTGAAGAGGTTTGAAGAAGTTTGATTCTCAATTCTATAAAATTAATTTCACCTATTATATATAATTTCATCTATGATACATATGTACTACCGAAAACATTACTACATTAGTACTTTAATGTAGATCGAACTTGAAGAAGAAGAATTGTAAACGCAATCCATAACAATATATAGATTTTTTTTACACAATATAGATTCTTTTTATGGGTCTTTACAAACTTTCAAAAGACAATTACGGATAATTACTGATTGAAGCTATTCCTCCTGAACAAAGAGTTTATAAACACGTCCCTTCGGTGTTATATTATGTATAATTTGTTTGCTTTTCTTTTATATGTGAAATTTTATGTAAATGGACTACGGTCCATATATGAATAAAATAATAATAATATATTTTTTAAATATTCATTCTCTGGCTACTTAAATCAAACCCAACTCTCTTTCCATTAATTTTCTCCAACACCAAATGAATATCATTGAAAAGAGTCGAGAAATTACCATTTCCAATAGCACAGCTATCCACAAAATTAGAAATCTACCCAACATACTGTGAGGTTTTATATATATGAATGGAAATGAGATAGAATAAGTGAAAATCATTTGCCATGATATAAATATAATATAATACAGTACAGTCTAATATGAATGATAGTTACGTGAGAATCGTCAAAGAGTAAACATGTGTTAATAAGAATGTTCTAGATAGTGTGAATCCTTTTGTTTAAAATAGCTTATTGAGAATTGTTGTCAATATTTAAATATTATTATCTAAATATATTAATTTGTTAACTGTTAAAACACGTACAAGATATTGGTTTCCATTTCTATCCATATATACATCAATAACGTCCAGGAACCATAATTAATCCAACCCCATCCTGTGCATTTCCATTTCCACATTAATCTCTTCAATATCGCAATCGTTCAATAAATGTATCCAGAAAAATCGAAGGACATTACAAAAACCCATTGCCGACACATGAGATACTCATCGGAAACTTGAGCAAACACGCGTGTACGCTTATACCTAACACACGTGCACCAGCATCTCAGCGTACATCTGAAAAAATTCGTTCTCTCCGAACTCGGAGCATAACTAAACCAGACCCGACTGTGCAGCTCCTTTTTCATTAATTTTCCACGATATCGTATCTCAGGCATTTAATAACGCTCGGTCAGAAGGGTGAAATCGTAAATCGGCTGGAAAGCAGCCGAACGCAGAAAAGATAAGGCGGCGTGGCGCGCGAGTGCGAGCGTTTGCTACAATTATGGCGCGGCGGTAACGAGGAGAAAATAAACGAGTCGATCGAATGTTGATTGCGGCTGAGAACTGCCGTTATCTGAAATCTCTGCTCGACAACGTCGGCTGTTCTAGTCGTTAATCGTGCAACAACCGATCGAGTTGTGTCCCGATTGAACCGACTCGTTCCTTGATACACGGGCTACCGATGGGGCCCGCTCGCCGTTCCGGCGCGAGCAGAGAGACGAGGAGAGGACGAGGAGAAGCTGGAACCGCTCGTCGCGGAGATAAACAAAGGTACAACGAAACCGTTTAATTACCGAGGACCGGAGATTAACTCTAATGGAACGACGGTGTTTCGTGGCTCGTATGGAAGCGGCTCGCTGATTGGCCGCGTTATCCAGTCTGGCGCCTTTCAGACTGAGCAACTTTCCGGCCCGATCTCGTTGCCGAACGGCCCCCGACTTTCAGTCTCTTTAACGCCAGGCGAATTTATCGTCCACGGGATGATGGTCGAATTCGTGAAAGACGTCTTCGAGTTTCGGCAAGTGGCTGATCAGAAGGTCAGACATTGGCAGCGTGTGATTCTTTGTTGCCTGTAAACTCGAGAGAAAGTGGCTGTGATGATTGGGTAAGATTTAGGTAATTCTTATCTAGAGAGGTGGTTGTAAAAGGTGGTGGTTTGGGGTACTGTTTTGTGGAATTGTAATAAGTATGTTGTAAGAAAGGTATATGAAACGGTTATATAGAACATTGTTGGACTTCAACGATATAAAGGATGTATATACAGGGTGGGTCACCACAAATTGCCATCTAGATATACGTCATTATTATTACGCATGGGGAAATGTTTTGGATGATGTTGAATGGTTTTGAGAAAGAAATATTCTGATTGTACTAGTTTCTTTGTAGATGGACGTGTAAAAGACATATGAAGGTCATTAATATTTTTTTAAATGGAATCATATACTTTTTATTACATCAGATGCTCCTTCAAATTTTTTACCGAAAAGTATTAACTTATTTATGTTAAAAAATCATTATTTTAGGAGATATTTTAATTTTACTGTCTAAAAATGGATTCATGAATTTAAAAAATATGCATTACTAGTCAACAGAAAATCCACATTGGCTTAGATAGTGATAACTTAGGCTAAGTACTGTATGAAGTTTGGGAAAATTGAATTTTTGGGTTACCGATATTGTGTACATGTTTATGGAAATAAATATCCCAGGAGGAAATATAGCTATGTTAAATTCTTGGATTTTAATAATACAAAGCAGATGTAAGGGAAGAAGAATTTTAAAATTTTTCGCTGTTATATTCAATGAATACGGTATTATGATTCGGGAAATTTCAAGGGGTTGAAAAATGGCGAAAGATTTCGATAAAGTCTTCGTATAAGTGAACCCATCGACGTTGCCAACAAGTCGGCCATTTTGTGGTTCCCTAATAGACTTAGTGCTAGAAAACAGACACCCTTGAGCCAGCCCTCGGTGAGCTAGCGCTGTGCCACCGACGAATCGAATTAACTTTATTACGTTTGTCTTCTGTTTTCCGCCCCAACAACCACCAGTCTCTTTCACCCCTCGACTTCTCTCGCTCGATTTCTCCGATCTTGTTTCCTACTCTTCCCAGTACTCCAGCAAACTCCTATACCATTTAACCGAATAGATATTCCGAGTATAGCACGGTATACCAAAGAACGATAACTTTGATTTTACAGCTTTGTCAAGCTTTCCTTTTCTTGCAAATAAGCATCCAACAATTTTTTAATTAAGAATATTTGGAATCTGGAGAAATTGGAAATTAGGTATATTTAAGACGAAATAAGATTGGAAACTTCAAAATTCACATATTCGTTAATACCAATGTTACTAATATTGATACCACACAATCGTTGATATGATAATTTATACAACATTACAGTGCCAAATTAAAACCTAATTCCTAACAGAATTACAACTCGAAACTTCATCGTTACCTCAAAATCCATCATCCATCGATCTCGATATGGAATACTCTATATTAAAGCACTATAATCAACCACGACACTTTAAGGACCGTTAAGCGAAACACCCTGCTCTTTTCATTGCTCAGCGAACGTTCGATCATCTTCAATCTTTCCATCTGTTCCAGGAGGCAAACCGCGGAGGAGCGAGAAGCTGAGAGGCAGGCAGCGAATCGGTTGATGTTGTCCCTTCAAGCCGAAGCGCTTGGAAAAGTGGCTTACCCCACAACGGTACCCAACCATCCAGCGGGGACCAGCGTTCCCAGCTTGGACAGACAGCAGGCACCCACTGCTCTCACCCATCCTGTGGGCCAGTGGGCCTCGCCGTACGGCCCGCCGCAACCTCTCGCTGAACCAATTTGTTGAACCTCCACGATCCACGCGAATTCGAACACTCTTATCCAGTGAAATCTAACAGTGAAACTAAATCTACCGACTAGTAAGCACATCGTTTCTTGCTGCGAAGATCGCAGTCTTACGACGCTCGACGACAGAAAAAGGACTGTTATAAAATAGCTTACTAAATGATAGCGATAATCGTTGGATTCGTGAAAAAATGTACTTTATTTCGATTCTTTTTTCTCGAAATTTTTCTTTGAGATTACGCAAAGGAACCAGTAGTTGAGATCGCTATTAGGTCGAGTATATGTGTTCTCCAAGATGATGAGGAAGATTTTCCTTCTTCATTTCGGAAGATTAATTGTTAAGTTAAATCGGTATCTAATGCGGAAGAAAGATGAGTACTTGAAATGTTGAATGTGGAGTACTATAGCATGATGGATCATCGCTCCTTTTCGTTGGATCTCTTCCAAATTTAAATAAAGTTGTTTGAAGCTTTTCCTTTTGAAATTTTAGCTGACGAGAAATTATCTATTTTGCATTTTTCGCAAAGACTATCCAGTGGTTTAAAAAATAACTTTAAAATATTCGGTATAATTTGAATACTTCGTGAAAGTATTTCATCTTTGATGCTTAAATATTTCTTTGGAGAATATTCGTAAAACTTTTATTCTGAGAATTGTCTATGTTAATCTAACAAAAAAATTTTCAAAATGTGATATTTTAGCAAAATTAGCAAAATTCGATATTTCTTAGTTGAAAGAAAATTTTACAAAATTTTTTCTCAGAATCTCAGAGCCAGTTTCGCCTTATTTATATCGAAGTGTGCGAAGTATGAACGGTGAAACGTCAGAACGATCATCGCCGCAGTTCCAGCAATCCGAAGATCAACACGGGATAATCTCTTGCTATTACGGGCCTGTTAGTGTGAGAACACATATAGATACATGGACATGTGTATTGGGGCGCGGGTTTAGGAAATTTCCCGAAATGACAGGTAATTGGGAGGTAATTTGACGTGACGTTATTGACAGAGAGAAGGAGTAGCAGAGATCGAACGAAAAAGAGCAAATGGAAGACAGCAGTCGTCTCGATTGCGTTATTTCTAGGTAATATCAACGTCTTACCGTCATGACGGCCAATTTTATCGACATACTTAATTAACGAACCGTGGGGTCTGATAGGAAGCTAAAAAAGAAACTTAAATAATTACGGATCGCTCTCGTTTTTCGCCACCACCAACCCCCAAGTGGACTCACCTCCCCGGAATTTACCCTCGTCAAACTGACACGATACCCGGGAACACTTGAAAGAAGTAGAAACACGAAATGAAAAAGAGAAACAGCGAAGACAGGGTGAAATCCGGACAGCTTCGAAGTTCGCGAAAATTCTTCGATCCTTGATCGAATTAACCCTTTCGACGACGGCTGATTGAGGTCTTGAGGACTGGCTTGTCTTCTATAATGGAAGTAGAGTCGAGAAAGAAGTCAGGATGTTAAGAGGTACTTGATGATATAAACATTTAAAATTTTTTATTTTTAAAATTTCTTTTTTAATTTTTAATTTTTTTACACCATCTCCCTTAATTCTTATGACTAACAAAAATCTCGAAGATTGTTGTCTGTAATGGAAATTAATTCAGGAAATTAATTCAAAAGAATTAAGAAATCTTGGAAATTTTGAATTTAAAAAATTTGTTATACAATTCTTCTTAATTTAACATTGTCGAATTATTTTTTAGTAGATTTTTTGATTACCTGCTGAAGAAATTTGTTAATTTTTAATACAATTATTGTTAAATTTTAGTGAAGTATAGTCATTCTAACGCTATTGCATCTTGCCTCTTTTAGTTCGAGTAAAATTTGTTCTTCAGAAATTGTCACATTTTTCGAGAATTTCTGATATCTTTTTAATTACATTTTTCTCTTGTAATAAAAATTCTTAAATAATTCGAATTGCATTTACACTTTTGAATTTAGAAAACGAATCGCAGTTCATATTTAATTTTAATGCGATTGTACAATATAGAAACACCATTTTTTAATTGGCTAATAATCTCATTACTATGGTTGGTAGATTATAATTAATTAAATAATAAAATAGCTCCCTTGCTTTCCAAATTTTCCTCGTGAAGTAATTCTGAAGAATGATATAAGCAAAATAAAATATTTCTAACTTTTATACTATTCTAATTAATGAAAAAATTATTCCTGTAACAGCTAAAGACACATATAAAATCTAAAATAAATTTTGTACATTTGGTGCTTCATTTTCAAGAAGATAGAGTTTCAAAAATTGATCAGATACGCTCTGTTCCGACAGTTTGTAAGCTACTTAAATAGATTGCATATATTTAATAATGAAATAACGGAATGTAACAAATACAAATAGTATACGACGAAACTTATTAAATAAAGATACAATCAAATTCACTGTTATTTAATAAATTTTTAAAAACTCAATCTCTCCGAAAACAAAACTTCAAATGAAAAAACTTCATTCCGCGCTTTCTATTTAATTTTTCATGTAAAATCAGCTTAAAGTCCTACATCATGCTCATTAACAATCGATATTTTATACCTTATTAACGTTAAAAGTACAAACGTATTAAAATAATCCAAGACATTTTGTTTTTCCTATGAATTTATTTTCCTGCATCGAATCACTTAATGACCACAAAATTTGCTGTTATACCTTTTTCCCTATGATTTACCTCTATCGAATCACTTCGTCTATTATCTTTTGCATATAATACATTCAACGATACCTCACAAGTAGTTCCAATATTAAAAATTCTCCATAATTTTTTTAATAACAAATGTTCATTTATTTACTGTAATAGTATTGAATATTACGTAATTCTTAATACTATATAAAGGAAAAAAGATGTCGTTGGAAGGGTTGAAATTACATTGTCGAGGAACTCCATTTCGCTAATGTTTCACGGCAGCAATAATTCAAAGCGTAACAGAACACGATTTATATTTACTATTTACCCGAAACTTCCTGCTCGGTGCATCCTACGAATCGTGCAGCTTAAACGAAAGATCGATACGACATATCTGTGTATATATTAGCGCGATAGTTTGTAATTATAGGTACCACGATATATGTACGATATTAATCCGTTTCTGCGATCGACTTGGCAAACAAAAGCGTTTCATTTCGGACACTAGATGCACACGTATTCAACGATCTTAGATCTAGAAAAGAATTCTGTGCCTTTGCGAATGAAACGTGAATTTTATTTCCCCGAATTCCATCCAGAAAGTTTGATCGAAGATCAATTAGAAATTAATTCGAAAATTAAACAATCTTTTTAACGCTTTGATCCAGAATTTTTCTCTGTTCCTAGATTTTGAGTATAGTCTTTGGAATTAAAATTTGTCTCGCGATATTCTCTCATGTCGCAATGTTGCTGTCAAAAGTGGCAAAATCTTTCCAGCAGTGTTTGCCAGAGAGCACAGTGATTAATATATATTTCACCTGAGATTACTATCATTTTAAAAGTTAAATATCAACGAATATATGAAAAAAATAATAAAATTTCTCAATTGGAAATGATCATATATACTTGAGAATTGAAAAAGCCCAGAATTTTTTCCTACATCTGATACATACGAGCCAACACACGCAATTAAATACACGCAAACATATACCTTGTACATATTATTTTCTTAGACATACGGAGAATCATAAAGAGTAATTAAGGGTATATTATCGTGAAGGAATATCATAAGTTATAAATATTATATCGTTACTACTAAGATTCGTCGTCGTCATCGAAATAGAGCGTGTAAGTCGTTTAATTAGGCACGTATTTAAGTTAAGAGCAACCGTAAATTAACGATCGTAGAGAACGATGTGATGTTATGTAAGTACGTATAACGTTGTATATAACTGACAAATGGAAATAATGCACGTTGATTGTACGAAACTTCACGAACTCATAATAAGCAAACACACGATAGAATAACACGAAACCCTTGGCTTAGTATTTATTTGTTAAACAAATGATTTTTCAACACGTACATACGTTTGTTGACGACATCACCGTGTAATTCTTTTTCTCTTTTCGTTAGATCGTTCGACACTGGCATAGTTATTCAACCAATAAGGTTTAATTTTTCTTTTTTTTAGGTAACATTCCCGTTGATGTAAAATAAGAGAGATAATCGGCGAAATAATCTCGAATGATTCGAAATAAATCGTTCTCTTCGCAATGACGATGATTTTTATCCATTATATCCGGATCTCTTCTGATCTCTACGTTGAAGTTCGCCTCGACCGAAACACGTTTCATTTTTTCAATCCCGATACATTTTATAAGGTACACTGTATATATTTTTTCAATTGTATCGCACAGAATAAATTTATATGACCACGTGAATGAGCGAACAGTTTTCTGCAACGATGATTATATTTTTAAGGGAGAAAATGGTAACATGGAACCTTCTACATTTCATCGATTTTTGCTAAACAAAAATTTGATAATTAATTAATAATTAACTTAAAATACGGACTTAATACGATCTTCGTCCATTCCTATTTCACATCTAAGGATTTAAGATGAAATGGATGAATATTTTATTAAGAAATTTTCCTTCATTTTTTGAAAATTAATTTTTCCACTTTGGAGTATGCTGGTAATTAAGTAATAAAGTTTCATATGGATTTATTAACTGAAATATTTGACAAATTTAATATACATATATATTGGTTAAAATAATATAAAATAATATTATTTACAGTAGTCACAAGAATGCGATATTCATTGATCTTATTGTGGACCCATAATTTAGACAACTGAAATCAGATCTATCTTTCACTATAATTATTCGAATAGTAGCAAATAAAATATTCATATATATTGTAATTCAGATGAAAATTTCTCTTAAGAGTCTTCACAATTTCTAATTGGAAGAACCTCATTTGAACCAACTGTTCCATATTACCATCGAGTATAAATATATAAATAATTAATAACCACAAAATTTGCTATTATAATAACGTAAATATACCCTGGAAGAATACAATGAAGTAACAGGAAATAACTAATAGCC